AGGAGCTGTGCTGGCAGGTTGAGGATTTTATACTGGAGCTAAGAAGTCATGCTCAAAATAAGAACCAGGGCTGCCCTGAAAAGTACTATAGCCATCCTCAGCGACACGAAGATCCCGAGCTCCTCCAATGATAATAACAGTCGAGTACATGCCCTAAAGCCAGCATAAGTTTCTTTGGGAGATTGAGCACCACATATCTTCCCCTCCAGAGCCAGGAAATGATGCCCAATGTAAGTACCAGAACTCCCCCAAAGTGAAACACAGTCACTCTCACCAACAAGGTCCCAAGCTACGCTGATGACAATGGTTGAACTCTGGGGAAGCTAGTCATGACGAGCTCCTCCAGGGGAACCAATGGCTCAAACAGCAACACTTAGAGAAACCCACAACGCCTCACTTTTCTTCTCCATGTCTCTATGCTGACAATTTTCTTCAGTTGCACCATCTATGTTCAGCATCATGCTGACTTATTCAGCTGGCATTAAGTTAACCATTGGTTTTTAATCCATAATATTTACAATTTGAAATTGTGACTTAATTAGGGCAAGAATCCTAGATCTTTCTAAAATTAACCTATTAGCTTAGAGTTTGTGGTCCTTTTAAATGTCTAACCTTTTTCTAAACTACTGAATGAGTTTCAAACATCTTCTGTGGACACCTTAGCAATTGTAAGATAACAGCACTAATAATGACCAAGACTTCCAGGTTATACAATACGTATTAGTTACTGGTCTAAACTGCAAACACAGATTAACATATTTAATTCTCATTAGGAAATGTTGAGATAGGAAACTGTTACAGTTTGTGTCTAGGTGGCCCCCCACATCTCATGCAGTCATGGAGACAGATGAATCTGGGGTTTGTGATTGGCTTATTGTCTAGTGCTTGGATTGATGGTGTGAGTGCTGCACTGGTCCAGGGGCCCCTGGCATACAATATAAGAGAGGGAAAGAGACGTGCTTTTCCCCCATTTTGCCCTTTTTGCTCTTGTTGCTTGTGGCCTCTATGAAAGGCTGCCCCTAAAACCACACCTCCATACCTCAGAGCCCACTGAGTGGGTACTGAAACCTCCAAATAACTGTAAGCTAAATAAATCTTTCCTTCCCTAATTTAAGGCATCAGGTCATTTGTCTCAACAAGGAGAGAAAAGTTACCAAGGCAGAACTCAGTTTCCACATGAGAGAGCTGAAGAAGACGACAGTGATGAGAGAGAAGAAAAAGCTCAGAAGGAGATAAATTGGCCTGAGGTCAAATGGCAGAGGTGGAATTAGAACTCAGGTGCAGTCTTTATTCTGTTCCTTATGTCACTGCATGCAAAGGGCCTACATTAACTTTAAAGAAATATTTTAATCAAAAAACATCACACACCTAGTCAGTTTCCCTTGTCACCTTCCCATGAGATGATCTGACATTCAGCGCTATGCTAGACATGTTACATATTTCATCTTCTCTCACACTTACTCCCTCCTGCCCTCTCATGTTTTATTCATGTCAGATTCCTTAGCTCTTCTTTCATCTGCTACGTAACACTGAGTTTTACCATCTTATATACATTTTCCTAGTCTATACAAGGCAGTTTCCTCATGTTGTTTAATTAGAAAGTATGTAGACAGAATCCTGAGATAACAAAGCATAAATACATTGCTTTATTCCCTAAGTTAATACTAATAAAAATGAGTTAAATTTTCACAATACTGAAATTATGAAAAGAAATTTTTACTCCCTTTTATAACTTATTCTTTATATTAAATTATTTGTTGAGAAGAAAGCTATACATTTTTTTGTTCTTTATGATAAGCCAAGGTCCCACAGTAATCTTGTATTCATATCTCAAAGCCTTAGGTATAACAGAAAATGAATAAATACCTCAATTCAGAGCAATGCTGGAAAATAAGTTAGAAAACTCTTAGTAGACCAAAATATATGAGAAATTGAGGAAGGAGATGGCTATATTTGATAAGGAGGCCGCTGCTCAACATCCATATGGAGGACAGTTAATTAATCATGGGTATATCAATGGAATCATAGAAATTCACATTCGTGCAAAAACACTGAGGCTGGATATAATTAAATGGTTGCTTACTTGCGGTTAAGGAGAGAAGCAATCAAGTAATTAAACCAGAAAAATTTCTATTTATTTTTGTGAGCCAGAGAGCCAATATTTAAGATTGGATTAAAGACAAATTGTGAAGTATTTGGAAGATTAGCAATGGTGATAAAAATCACAGTATTCATGTCCAGGAGACCAGCTACCAAATCTGCTCTTTCTGCAGTGCGCTCTGCTATTTCCTGTGCTCATTGAAGGTAGAACATTGGAATGAGATAATGAGAATTAAGTAAGCACAGTGGAATTAACTTGTAACCGCAGATGGGTGGGAAAGACTTTGCTTAAACGAAAAGAGTCAAGCAGCAGTCAAGTGACTTACATATTTTATCAGTATTTCCTTTGTATAGTAATCCTCTGTCAATTAATAATTACAAAGTACACTGGAGATCAGAAAGAATATGACTTCCCAACATGTATCCTTCTGTAAAAAAATAACAATTTGAATAACTATTCACAGTATGTGTAAGTTTTCACAAATACTTGCACGAGATTTAGGAAACCAGGTGAGAGATAACTGTTCCTACGTGAAGCATCCAGTAAGAAAAACACCTTTGTTAGGTTAGGAAGGGCAGCGTTACATTACACCAGCCCTTTTCTAACCCAGACCAGAGAACTCCGAGAGATCCCTTTTCCCCTCAGGAGGAAAGTGAGTACTTGTTTGCTTTGCTCCCAACATGGATCAATCCTACCAAAACTCAGTACTGGGTAGACCTCTGAGACACCAGTCCTAAGAACAGTACCTGTAGACAGAGCTTCCAGGCCTGCCTTGGTATCAAGCCAGATCTACAGTTCCAAGCTCTTGGGCTTATTAGACTACTGGGCTTGTACCGTTATACCCAGACTTCAGGGCTGCCCTCAAACTCTTAATCTCTGAGCCTGTTGATTTCTAGACCATCTGAAAGCCACATCATCCCACATAGCTGTAGGTTGGGCCAGCCTCAGTGCCTGAGGACACAGGCTATAGAACTGCTCAGGGCTGGGCTGGTCCCTGGAGACTGACCCTCCAGCCCATTGTTCATGGCTTCCTCACGCCAAAAGAAGTAGGATCCAGGCCTACTGTATCAAATTGAAGATCCTGGCTCATCCCTGAGCTGCAGTGGTCCTCACTGATCCAGGCCCTAGACTGCCATGGAGTAGGGTCCAGGCCATACCGATGGACCCAGGATTTGGGCCAGTCCACAGAGATTTAGCCCTTAGGGTTTCACACACACACCATACTCTGGCCTTTACGTGCCTAGGCCGCAGGCGGGTTTCTATGGCTCTATGTTGCCATGGATTCACGATTTAGGCCTATTTCTGCAGATTCAAGATCAACTTTCCCTCACGGACTCAGGCTCTAGGCCCATCCTTGTGGATCCAGGAACCAGAGCCTATGGAGAATTATTTCCAAATGTCCTTATTTGGTTGTAAGTAACATTACATTACCAGATAGAGCAATAACATAGAGGTTTTATCTTCCAAATGGCTCCAATTTCACGTATCATTTAAGTGCTAAGTTTCCTTACACCAACTTCCCAATATTATATGGACAATTAGACATTTGCCTTTTGATCTCTCGAATTTGTGATTCCATAGCAATCAAAACTAGAACATCCAAACTATATTATTTAGTTCCCTATTGCCTCCTGCCTCCCTAATTTTTCCATAATGCCTCTCTCCTCTTTCTTCTCTCTCTCACTCTTTCTCCCTCTCTCACACACACATACACCTCCGTCTCAGAGCCTACAGTCTCTCATTCACATAGACGCAGAAGATAGAAAGTTGTGACATGAACTGATTCTCCCTTATCATCCTCTCGCTTTGATTTAGACAATGCCAATTCCACTTTTTTAACACACCAGACTTTTATTTATTATTCCTCACCTCACCAGCATCTCTTTTTCCAAGTGTCCAATATTTTAACTTAGAATTGTGCATAATGTTCTTGAGAGTTTTTATTTCTCTGGTATGGCTTGAATTACTTTTTCTTCTCTCCACACTGTACTCAAAGCAATTTTTGTAAACCACAAATCTGCTCAGGCCATTCACACACACATACTTCCCTGCATAGGCATTGTACCATTGGCATTACCTCTACGTGCAAGGTAATGTCAGGTCCCTTAAAAGGCTTTATTATTATCTATCATTAGCTTCTTCACTATGATCTCTCATGCCCAGCTCTGATCCAGACCCCATTAGGAGCACCAACCTTAGGAGGTATATATACCCTTCTAAAACTATTCAGTAGCTTGGCCAAAATTGATGCCTACTCAGAATTTCAAAATACTATCTCATTGGAAACAGTGTTTAAAAAATGTAAATAGCCCAACATGCTGAGATAAAAACCACTCTGATTTTAGGCTGGTCCCTAATTCCAATCACTGCTGTGCTTGTAAGTGAAAGAAAATACACAGAGACACACAGAGAAGAAAAGAAGACCCAGCCAGAGACTTCAGGTGAAGAAATACTAAGAGTCACTAAAAGCTAAAGAAATGAGGAAGCGGCTTTCTTTACAAATGCTGAAAGGACAGAGACCCTCCTGATGCCTTGATGCTAGATGTTAACCTTCTTAACTGTTACAGAACTATTTTTTCTTTTGTTTTAAGCCACAGAGTTTGTAAGTTCTTTGTAACTATAGCCCTCTGAAACAAACATACCACTATCCTAGATTTCTTGCAATATACTAATGGTTAACTTTCAGGTCTCACTGGAAAGTAAGAAACACAAAGCAGATAATTTAGTTGTTTGTATTTACATTCACTGCCAGGTACAGAGATTAGCATATGGTGGACAATTAATAACTGTATGTATGAAGGAAAGAACACGTGAGTTTTTCATGATAGTAGATGCATATTGAGAACCAGGTAACATAGTTATTGAAACTATACATTCATTTTACCAGCAAAATGTTTACCATTTGAGATTTTACTGTCTTCATCACTTGATGGCTTTTGATTGTCACTTCTGAACACCTGTTGTTTTCACTTGTGCCGTCTCCACGCCCCATTCTGATCTCAGAGCTGTGAAGGTCCGGTAGAGAATCAAGCTCTTGGGGCAGACAGCCAGAACAAATGACTGAAACTCAGACTTGAGGCTGCCTTTTGTAAATGAACACATTGTTCATGAACTAAAACACACTGTTCATCCAAATTGACCTCCACAGGGGTAATCTGTCCCTCTCCACTTCCTGTCCTCTGGCTGCCTCGTACAGTCGGGCTCCTATCTTTTCTGAGAACTGTTTCATCTGATTACCCTCCAGTTCTCTGAGCAAACCCATATCCTTCTGACCAAACGCCTTTCTTGTTTAAATACCCAGAACTAATTTCTGCTTCTCACAGTCTAAGAACAGCAATTACACTGTTCAAATGTAGATCTGATCAGTACATAGCACAGATCGCTTGATAAATATGGAGGTGTTGGTTCCCAGACGGTCACCTGATCAGAAAGGTTACATCTGTCAGCCAATGACTAATGAACCATGGAGGTTAAAAAATACGACTGCCATTTTCCTGAGAACTGCTTCCATTTCTACATCTACTATACATACTAATGTAAATTCTGCTCTCCACCCTCATTTATTGTGCCCTTTTTGAATGTCAATATAGAAATTATCATGTAAATTTTAAAGTTTTTACTGAAATAATTTTCTCAATGCAAGTCATGTTCTGAAAGAAAATTAAACCATTTTACAAAGAACATTATCCCTAAGTCAAGGCTTTCATATATTACATGATACCATCACTGCACAAATAGTTTAAGCCTGACTAATTACCACTTTGCAACACAGAGATGAACATATTAGTATGAGCTATTTGGCACATTCAACTGTGTCATTGAAATACTCACTAATTTATGAAGAATTCACTCATTACGATTGCATCATACCTAAATATTCAATATTTTCTTTAAAAAAATTTTAAGTGAAAACCACTGTTAGCCCGGTAGAGGTGAAGATTAATTCAAATACCACGATTAAAACAGAGTATATTTTACCCATACAGATGTACTAACTGAAAATTTTAAAACATCGCAAAAGCAAAACAGCTTTCAACTTCTTCAATGGCTTAATAGTCATGTTCTTTTGCACCTAAATGTAGATGAAACACAACATGGTTTCTGAATATGATTTAAATTTATTGTCCACCAAAGGATTTCCTTAGAGACTTTTCACACAAAAGTGTCACTAGTCTTACCTGTTACAGGAGCGGGGACAGAAGATTATATACTTTTATCACTTTTTCCCTTTTTCTTAATATCCCACCACAGCCATTTATGTTACAACTCACTATTTGCTTCAGAATTTCTACCGAGTATCTTATACTGTCCACAAAAAAAACACATTTTAAGACAACAAAAAAAATCACATGATAAATATATTCAAATCTAATTGCTATGTATGTTCTCTAAATCAACTTTCTCTTTCTGCCCACTTTCTTGACCGTCTATCTTCCACATTTAAATTAAATTCACCTTTGTCTTAAAATTACCCTTAAATTTCAGTTTTCTTCCATTACCAGTCCACAAATTCTCTTTGTCTTTCCATTTTTTTCAGTTTTAAGCTAATATATAAGCTTAGTGATTTTATTGAGGTTTAGGTCTCTTCTCTTTTCCATGCTTTTATCTTTGATTTTAATTTACAACAGATGAAAGAAAACCTATTGTATGCTGATCAGTAAAATCAGACATTCTGCAAAATTCAGTGCCTATTTGCATATTTGACTGATGGGAAAATGATGACAGACAAAAACAAGAAAATACAGTATAGTCTGAATTTTTATATCATTTAATAGGTGCTAAGGAAAGCACAAATTTGAATTTTGAATTTCAGGAAATCAAAAATCTGATCACTACGGTTTTCTTTTTCCTGGTAATTAATTTTTATTTGGTCAGCAGACAAGGGAGACCAATAAAATTTTAGGTAAATAAATAACCTCATTATTTGGGGGTTTTGTTGACTTTGTAGTGGATCAAATAGTTTAAAAAGGAAAACTTCAGAAAATGTTTCAATATTTAAATATTATTTTACCACTTTGGGAAAGTCATTGTACAAGCCTGAAGACAAGAAAATGAAATTGAAAAGGCAAGGAAAATAGTAAAATGTACAGAATAGAGTGGAAAAATCCATTTAGTCAACAGACGCTATGTGTATTAGTAAGACAGGAATTTCACATGCATCTAAATTCACTAATTCTATTTTCCAGGTGAATCATCATTTTAATCACAGTGGCAGCAAATACAAATAAAAGATCATAAGTTTTTAAATGTGAGATAATGATTTTAATCTCTGGTCTACTGATTTTGGTTCATCAATACGCATTCAGCATACAAACAGAATATCCAGAAATCAGGTAAAATATATTGCTGAGATGGCACTGGTGACCTCTGCCTGCTGATATTAATGGCCTTTTGTGATTTCTGCTCTTGGTAGGCAAGACCTAGAGACTAATGTCTACAACACAGAACACGACAGAAACAGTGTTATATTGGTTTCCTGGGATTGCTAATCTAAGAACCTCAATTACCACCGAGTGGGTTCAAAGGATAGAAAGTTATTCTCTCACAGTTCTGGAAGCCACAAGTCTGAAATCAGAGTGTTGAAAACCAGCACTTCCTTAGTAAACGATAGGGGATATTTTGCTCCCTGTGTCTTCTAGCATCTGGTGGCTCATCTATGACCTATGGGTGCATCACACAAGATAAAGAGAAATAGATGTCTCTGATTATATCTTCCCATGGTCTTGTGCTCTGTGTGTTTCTAAAGATGTGTATGGCTGAATTCATAATTTCTCTCATTAATGCAGAATGATCTCAAGTAATGATATTTAGTTATGTGACTCTCCAAATAATTTCACATTCATAAGTACTAAGGGCTCAAATTTCAATACAAAACATTAATTGATTTTCTTTTTGGCACTGGGGATCAAATTCATGACCTTGCACTTACCAGACAGCTGCTATGTCACTGAACTAAATCCCCAGCCCATTAATTGATATTGGTAACAAATATTTTGTTTGAAAAATAATGCAGAAGGCTGGGTGTGTAATTTGGGGGTACAGCATTTGTTTTGCATGTATAAGGCTATAGGTTTAATTCTTAGGAAACCCCCAAAATAAATTAACAATAGTAACAATAAAAAAATCAGCAAATAATACATATAATGTCACAACCATGTGCTTTAAAGGTAAAAAAACAGCAGAGTTATAAAAGGATATAGAACAGAAGATCTGAGAAATTATTTTTAAAAAACAGGTTTCTGTTCCTACTTTCAATTTTCTTTTATTTTAGATGTTTATCATTTTTATAACAAAGCTATGTTTAAAAACATCTTTAAGGTTTCACTTTTTTTTGAAATGATAAGAAGTGTATCAGCTGTCATTTCTTCTTACCTGAATATGCTCCAATATATCTGAAGGAATTTCCCAGCACGACTTTACATAGCTTCAATCATACAGCTGCCATCAGAATTCTCCATCACTTTCTTTCCTATGAATACGAGACAGAATCACATATAACTAAAAATAAGATTGTGACTGGACTTCATAGACCAAAGAATCACATTTACATATAATTTAAAGGTTACAGAACATCTCCTGAACGTCTAGCTATATTTCCTATGCAAGTTGAAAAAGGTGTCATATAGTAGGAAAGCAGTAAGAAAATGTGTGTTTTTTCTTAAAAAAGGGACAATCACAGACTCCTGGATAATGGCAAATGCAGTGCTGGTCAACAATGACTCTTGTATTTTAACTCGTAATTGTGTCCCGATTACAACACAGACAGCCTCTGGCTGACGGGATAAGGGCCTTTGCCTCTCCAGCTGTACAGGTTGCTCAGCTACTTCTCACCTATCACTGGTCACAGCGGCCAGGCTCTCACCCTGTTCCCCAGGACCACAGCACCAACAGAGAAGAGCATGAGCAAGCACAGATTCATGTTCCTTTCATTTCCATTCTACTTCGACTGCTTTGGAAACATTTGGACACCTTGTCCTTCTGCTCATTATCATGCTGTAACTAGATAAGACACATCAAATGGCTAAGACTTTAAAATTTTTATCCCAACAGACAAGATTTACAGGCCTTTCCTAATAGACAAAACAGCATGAGTTGTCTTCCTTCAATTGAGTCGTTTCAAAGGTACTTTCAACATAAGTTTAATAGCAGCAGAAAACTTGACAGGATAGTATTTCTTCTTGCTAAATCATCAAACAAAAACAAGAAAACTAGAATGAGGTGTTGACACATACTTGTAAGAGGCTGAGGCGGGAAGATGGAAAGTTGGGGTTACGCTAGGTATTTTGTTAAGTCTCTGTCTCAAAACAATAAAAGTAATCAAATGGTTGGGATCTAGTTCAGTGTAGTGTGTTTGCCTGGCACGCATGAGACCCTTCATCCAGTCCTCAGTGTGGTGGGTGGAGGGCAGCAATGAGGAAATGTCTCTATTTTTTTTTTTGTCCTGGCCCCCCACAACTTTGCTAGAAACACTTTAATACACATTAGTAATGCCAGGACTACATTTTCACTTTCAATAATATATGTTAAACACTTTATTTTTAATCTCTGTTTGCATCTAAGCCATGTGAATTCCAAAACACTACCCTTTGTCATCTTAGGTGAAATCATTTTTAGAAGCCATTAATCTATTTTTGCACTTTTTTTTCATTTTCAAAAAAAATCTCTAGAAAGAGAAGAAGAAAAAAGAAAGGAAGGAGGAAAAGAAGAAGAGGAAGAAGGTAGGGATGGATCTTAGTTTACGCTACTAAGGGCAAATCTGGAGGTAGCATTTCAAGTGCAAGATGTTGCTTTGGGAGATGATCCTAGGGACCGTCAGTTGGTAGAAAAGAAGTCACATGCAAGGTATAAGGTCTCACACTAACAGACACTGTTATCAGGCAACTGCTGGCAAATGAAGCAAAATTTGGAGCAGCAAATCTGACCTCCAGTGTAGACCAGTGACGCTTCTGCTGCCATCTTCCCAGAAGAATGAAAAGAGGTATTTACAGACCAACTCTCATTTCTCAGGAGCTGACTGCTGCTCTCTGAGATCGGCAGCCTGATCTCTCTGGCAGTTAGAGAGTACGTTAGAGAATTAGCACTGGAAATTCTGCAGCAGTAAGGGGAAAGGTCACCCACAGGCAGATTACCAATGCCCTCTGCCACGGAAAAACCAGAATTAGAACATAAGCAGAGTGCATTTTAAAGCCACTTACAGAGATTTTACTGATTTTAAGCAAAGACTGCAGTGTCTATTTGTGCACAAAACCTAGGCACGTCCAGGTCTAGTACAAGTCAGCTCAACTGGGACAGGGAACTTCAAACATGATGCATAGCAAAAAACAGAAAATCGTGTCATGATTCCCCCCCAAAAGTTTTTAATGGATCATGTTTTTCTTGTTTATTTGTCTAAGGCAAGAAAAGAGAAAAGATGGAGATAAAAGCAGTTCTTTTTTTAGGGGAAGTGTCATTTCCCTATGTATGTGGTGGCAAATACTGATTTTACAAAGAAAATTGGAGAGGAATTATCCAAGATAATGTAACTATTACCTGAACTATTCAGTAAACCCCATTTTAAATACTATAACAAAGTAAAAATTTTTCTTAAAATGGTCTGTTGAAGTCAACATTCCCAAAGCTTTCATCTCTACCTCAGAATGACTAAAACAGTCTTATAGCAGGAAATACTTTTCTAAATGACAATATTTTATGCAATGCGACAGAATAAAGAGCAAAAAATATCCACATCAAAACAAGAACAAACTCATGCGTATCTCTGCTTTCTTCTTACAGAAAAATGTCAGAGGCTCTGAATTGGATCTATTATTCCATGCCTGGTATGATTAGATTTGTTCATAGAAAGAATTTTGAATAACCTTGCAAACAATGAGGCAGGCTTATGAAC